TGTTTTATTGGTCTTGGCCATTCTGACTGTAGTATTATGAAATCTCAAAGTAGTTTTACTTTCTGTTTCCCTGATAACTAAAAACGTTGAACAGTCATCTTTTGAAAACTGCCTGTTTAGTTCTGTACCCCAATTTTAAATTCAGCTATTTCTTGATGTTCAGGGTTTTTTTTAGTTTTACATATATATTTTAGATACTAACCCTCTGTCAGATGTATAATTGGCAAAGATATCTTTCCATCTTGTAGCCCGCCACTTTGTCTGCATAATTGTGTCTTTTGACACACAGAAGCTTTTCAGCTTCATGAGGTCCCATTTATTGATTGGTCTTAGTGCCTATGCTAATGGTGTCCTGTTCAGGAGGTCTTCTCCAGTGCCAGTGAGTTCAAATTACCCCCTACTTTCCCTTCTTTTCCGTCAGTGTAGCTGCTCTTATGCTGAGCCCCTTGATCCATTTGAACTTGAGTTTTGTGCAGGGTGATAAATGTGAATCTATATTCATTCTTCATTTTAAAACTATCCAATTTGATCAGCACCATTTGTTGAAGATGCTGTCTTTTTACCAGTGTGTATTTTTTGACTTCTTTGTTAAAAACCAAGGGGACTTACGTTGGAGTCTCAATTCGATTCCATTGATCAAAGTGTCCCATAGGTTTGGATATGTTGTGTTTTCATTTTTATTCAATTATTTAAAAGGTTTTTATTTTCTTCTTGATTTCTGTCTTGATCGATTTACTTTCTGTTGTTGATATCTAATTTTAATCTATGGTGGTCAGATGCAGGGCATTCCAAACTTCAGTTTTCTTATGTCTGTCAAGACATGCCTTGTTTCCTAATATGTGGTTTGTAGCCAGAGGCTTTTCTGCATCCTGCCTGGTGCCACAGCTGCTTATAAAATAATCACTCAGAGGCTTATATTAATTATAGATGTTTGGCTGTTGGCTCAGGATTACTACTGGCTAGGCCTTACAACTTAAATTAACGCATTTCTATTATCTATATTTTGCCACATGACCGTGGCATTACTGGTCTGCTAGCATCTTGCTCTTGGGTGGCTGGATGGCGTCTGCCCCTGACTCCTTCCTTCTTCCTGTCTCTCTGCTTGGATTTCCCACCTGGCTCTTACCCTTTCTTGTCATAGGCCAAAGCAGCTTTATTTATTAACCAATGGGAGCAACACATATTCACAGCATATAGAAAGACATCCAGCATCAGTGGTCAGTTTTGGAGAAAGTTCTGTGAGCTGCTAAAAAGAAAGTGTTTATGAATTTCTAAGCGGTCTTATTAAATAAAAAACACAGAGCCAAATATAGGGGTGAAAGCCTTAGAGATCAGGGAAATAGGAATAGCCACTAGCTAACCTTACCTCACCATACCACAGCTTCCAAAGTATGCTACTTCCTGTCTACCCATGCCTTTATTGCCTTGCTGTTCTGCCCTCTCATTGGCTCTTAGCCCAGCTACCTCACTTCCTTGTCACTGCCTGTCTGTACAGACCTCCAGGTCTCTATGGTTGGTACTGGGATTAAAGGCATGTGTCACCATGCTTGACTCTGTTCCCTAGTATGGCCTTGAAAACACAGAGACCTGTCTGCCAAGTGATCGGATTAAGGGTGTGTACTACCACTGCCTGACTTTTGTGTTTATTTAAAATGGCTTGCTATTTCCTGATCTCCAGGCAAACTTTATTTATTAACATACAGATAAAATATCACCGTATTTCAGCACAAATAAAATATCACCATAAGAAAGCATATTGTTTTGTTTGGGGGTGAAATAGTCTGTAGATATCTGATAGGTCCATTTGGTTTATAATATTTAACTCCAGCATTTCTCTGCTTATTTTTTGTCTCGTGACGTGTCTATTGGGGAGAGAGTTGTATTAAAGTCACCCACTATCACTTTATGAGGGTCAGTAAGTGATTTTAGCTATAGTCATATTTCTTTTATGAACTTGGGTGCCTTGTAGATGGTGCATCAATGTCTAGAATTGTCTTCAACACCAGAGATTTGCTCTTCTTGTAATCTGTTGGGGAGACTTACCTCTGCATTTTTGTTTGACATCCTAAATTTTCCATTTACAGTCTATTTGAGTTTTGGTTTTCTTTAGTGATTCTATTTTTACTATTTTACCCTCATGTCTTGAACTGTTTTCATTATTTCGTTCAACTGTTTGTGATTTCACAGTCTTCACTAGAGGATTTATTTATATCCTCTTTAAGGTCCTTGAAGACATAATTGCTATTCTAAAGTCCTTGTCTTGTCCATCACCTATATTGCATTTTTTAAGGACTACAAGATAGGGTTACTGGGTTCTAGTGTGTGTGTGTGGGGGGGTGCTGTCTTGGCTCTTTATGTTTGTGTTTTTGTGCTGAGGTCTAGAAATCAGGGGTTATGGAGTTTAAAGTGTTTCTTCATGTTAATATCTGCCCTGTCTTTTTGGGGTAGGTGTTCCATTTCTTGGTTTCTGTTAGCCTCTGGGTCCTAGGCGAGGGGAGTGGCTGCAGGCTTGCTGGTAGGGGTGCTTCCACTGTCTACTCAAAGCCACATCACAGTTTTTCATAAAAAGAGGATGAGTTAAATCAAATGGTCTTATATATATTTGCAAAAAAACTTAAAATGTTGGGATTTCAGTGGGAATTGTTATAATTTCTATTCTTAGGTTGAGGTTCCTTAGTATGGGAGAATTCAGTTTTTCAGTTCATAGTAAAGTATGTTCCTCTATTTCCAAAGATTTTTATCAGTGTTTTGTAGCCTCAGTGGTAAATTATAACATGTTAACTTGAAATATTTTTTCTCCCTTCCTTCATTCCTTCTGCCTACTTGCCTTCCTGCCTGCCTTTCTTTCTTCCTTCCTTCCTTCCTTTCTTTTTTTTCTCAGAATCTTTCTGTATAATTTGTGCTGCCCTAAGTCTTGTGGTTCCCCCTGTTTCAGCTTAATGAGTGCTAGAATTTTAGGCATGTATCAACATGTTCAGCTTATTACTGTAGTTATAATTTTGATGACCATGTGTTTATTGAAAGTGTTTATTTGTACTTGATTTTTTTTTTTTTTTTTTTGGTTTTTTGAGACAGGGTTTCTCTGTGTAGTTTTGCGCCTTTCCTGGATCTCGCTCTGTAGAACAGGCTGGCCTCGAACTCACAGAGATCCGCCTGCCTCTGCCTCCCGAGTGCTGGGATTAAAGGCGTGTGCCACCACCGCCCGGCTATTTGTACTTGATTTTTATTTCTTCCATTCTGAAACCTTAACTGAACTCACTAGATTTAGGAGTTATCTTCAGGTTCTTTGGCAATTATTGATTTGTTCATTTATTTCTGTGCTCGAATGTGTGTGTGTGTGTGTGTGTGTGTGTGTGTGTGTGTGTGTTGCCATCATTGGCCATGACATTGTATGGCAAAAATGGAGGCATAAAGATCACAAATCCAACATCATCTTCAATCATATGGAGTTTGAAGTCAGCTTGCACAGCATGAAACCTGTCTCAAAACGTGTGTGGTTTTGACTGCTGCTTTTCTGGTGGGTGTGCTTATTCTTTCCTTCCTGCACCTTGCATTACTCACTAGGACTTTTGTATTTAATAAAAATGTAGAAAGAGAAAATTTCTTGATTACCTTCTCAGCATTAAGTTGAAAGAGTTTCCTTTTTATAGTTCAAGGAGATTTCAGTACAAGTTATTATCCTAAGATTGTCTGTCTTCCTGAGGTAGCCTTTTCTTTGGGCCTTTGTTTAGAGAAAGTTGGCTCTTGTTGGGGCCAATGATAGTTAGCATGATTTGTCAACTTGGTATAATGTACAATCCTGGCAAGAGAGTCCCAATGAAGAATTATCTACTTTGGGTTGGCCTATGGGTGTGTCTATGGGGAATTGTAATGAATGGATTTGGGAAATTCCAGGCCGCTGTAGATAGCACCATTCCCTAGGCAAGGGGTCCTAAACTGTATGAGCTGAGAAATTAGGACCTGGAGAGATGACTCAATGGTTAAGAAAGTTGCTGCCCTTGCTATTGCATTATTTCTTGGGTCTTAAGGCTCTCTCTCGCTCAATATCTCTCTCAATATCCCCCATCTTTCCCTCCCCCCCTTCCTCCCTCCAACCTCCCTCCTTTCCCCAGTACCTCCCTCCTTCCTTCCCGCTGTTGGTATTCTGCCTTCTCCCCACCTATCAGTGTTGTTTAATGAGAGGAATAAGGTAACATGTATCAAGTTCTTACTTCCAAAAACTGAGCTTTTAAGTTTTTCTTATTAACAGCACATCTTGATTTAAAGACTGTGCATTAAAGTGATGTGTCACATTAGAGCATGGAGAAGAACCTCAGAATTTTGTTTGGTATATTTTATCTTGTTTGTCTCTTTCAGCACCAATAATGTTGATGATTATGACTAGCTGGTATCAAGGGTCCAAGTTCCTTTGCCATTTAATATTATATTCGTTGAAAGATTAGATCTGCTTAAAACATAAGGATTTTGTTTGTAAATAATATCCAATTCACTGTTTGAGTGCTTCTTTGATTCTCATAGTCTTTTCTCATTCTTAGCTGTATTTCTTCCTGAGAGAACATGGGTCTTTCTGAGAGGGCTGAAGCCTAGGGACTTAAGTGACCTTCCATAACTAGCATAAGATGTGTACTGGGAAGTATGGACAGTGTGCAGAATGTTTTTTTTACAAGGTGGCCTTCTAGAAAGAGTTGTATGAACTGTAAGTGAATGCACTTGAAAGCAAGGACATGAAGGGAATAGCATGCCATGTGCACATTCTCTCTATGGAAAAGGAAAAGGGCTAAGAGGGATAGTCTCTTTCTAGACTAATGTGGTCTTATGTATCTAATATCATAAGCAGCTGTTCCTCCATGCCGTGGCATGAGTGGTCTTAGCCACCCATCATTGGGAGTGTTGTAATTTAGTGTACTGTCTTGACTTTAACTGCAGCATTCCTTGTTTCACAAAAATATAAGGAGAACCCAAGTTGCAAATAAACTGATAAATTTCTTTTTCTTTTTCAGGCAGAAACTTCTTATCCCAAACGGAACTTGCTCTATTATTCTGAATACTTATTTTTGTCAGAAGGCTATTGCAAAAGAAACAATGCATGAAGTATACTGTCAGGACACATCTCACCCAAGAAGAAATATAACTTTGGCTCAGATGTTTAGAATTGAAGACATAACAAGTAGTTCATCCAGAAGTCAGGTAAATTCTCATTGACTGATGATTCTTACACTTGTAATAATGTTGATATCTGGATTTGAATGTGAGAATATTCATCTTCTGTCTATATATGCTAGAGTGTGTTGTTATTATGATGCCAAAAGATATAAAAACTCAAGGAACATTTAGTCATGGTCTCATTATAATTTTTCATTTTTCCATTACATAGCTTTAATCTTTATTTCAGTTTATTACAACATGAAAGTTTTCAGCTTCATGGGGCTATGGTTAGCACATTCAGGACTTAGAAAGTATTTTGTCTATTTTCATCTTGAAATTAAGAGTTATAAGTCTTATATTTTCTAATTTTCTAGTGCCTATATCCCTTGAGATAAAGCTTTATAATTATGTTGGAAGTTATATTATAGAGATTGCATGGGGTGGAGACTCTGAGCTATTCCAAAAGTAATTTGGAACTTCATAGTAATTCATTATTAGTTGGCAGGATATGTATCCAGGAAGACTCTCCACTCTGGGAATCTGTTCCCAGTACACTGGCCTCAAATCTCTAGATTAGCAGAATAACTCTAGAGCAGAATACTGAGATTAAAAGATAGGAGGAGGGAAAAATCAGAAACTGGCAAACCTTCACCCTGCTTTGAACCATATAAGAAACATCTTCCATTGACTATCAAAAGAAGTATCTGGAAGGTATAATTTGAGGAAGACACTAAAGCTGCCCTCTGACCTCCACTCACATGCCAGGTAATACATGCAAGCACACACACATGGGGGTGGGGGATATTAAATTAAAAAATAAAAATTAAATTTGTAAAAGTATACTTTTAAACAGTTCATGCTATGTAAAACTATTAAGTACATTTTGTTAGATAACAATAACTATGTAGCATACTGGTGAAGAATACAGATTTTGAGGGGACTGGAGAGAGGGCTCAGCATTAAGAGTGTTCTTGCTGCCAGGTGGTGGTGGCTCATGCCTTTAGTCCCAGCAGGTTAATTGGGAGGCAGAGGCAGGTGAATCTCTGAGTTTGAGGCTAGCCTGGTCTACAGAGCGAGTTCTAGGACAGCCAGGGCTACACAGAGAAACCCTGCTTCATAAAAAGAGTGTCCTTGCTGCTATTCCAGAGTGCCCAAGTTCTGTTCCCAGCAGAACATTCCAGGTGGCTGATAACTGACTATAGCTGCAAGAGATCCGATCCCCTCCTCAGTCCTCCAAAGGTTCCTGTGCACATGTTTGCAAACAGTTACCACTGACACTAAAGAAAAATAAAATAGGATTATGGAAGCATGTGCCTTGTTTCACATCCTGCCTTAGAAGCTTTATGCTAGGTCACATTAGGCCATTTCTCTGTGCCTCAATTTTATGTATGAGAATAGTTAGGGTCACTGTAAGAATAAATATTAGTATGTAAAGAACAGAGTCTAAAAGATAACAAGTATTTCAAAAGTATCATTGGCTTATGATCCTTGATACTATTGTATAGTTGTTGGGAGAATACATAAGTATGCAAATTAGCAGATCACATATTCAAGCACTTAATAAAATGACTCATTTGAATTAAACTGTATTCATTCCTTCTGGACAAACCAAAAAGGGAAACTGTCCCCATGAAGTAATTAATAGTAGGACTGTCTACTTGGTACTGTTAGTAGAAAAAAACTTTGCTGTGTATCCCTTACCCACCTCTACTCTTCAGCAGGATAGATGCCAGATCTACATGTTTGTCTTTATGTTTATGTTTCTTTAGTGCACTGCCAGTGCTTTGGCAGTTACCTCATGATGCCACTATTTTTTGACAGCGTGACACTATAAGCCAAACTTAAACCACTCCTTTTGCATGTCTTGGACAGATTACATGTAGTGGTCTGACCACCACTGGCACAGGCTGGACCCACGGCCATGACAAGGCAGAGCTACATCTTGCAGTTGGTGCTCCCCTGAAGGATTCTCTTCTGGACATTGTGGAAAGCCAAAGAGCAGGCCCATGGTCTGGAGTTGGGGTCCGAGTAGTAGTGCAGAGGGTTTATTCCCTTCTTAGCGGAGACGGTGCCAGGAGCCAACAAGGGCACACAGTGGGGCATGAAGATTCACCTGGAGCATGGTGAGTAGCAAACAGACACAGGAAAGGGGTAGTACAACAGAGTTCCCAAGAAAGGAAGCTCTGCTTAGAAGAACTCTATGGATTGTTCACTATATACAGAGGCTGCTTTCTATAATTTTTTTTCTTGCATCAAAATTTGGTACATATTTGTATTGCTCAGGGTTCTCTAGAGGAACAGAACTGATAGAATAAATGTGGGATTTATTAGAGCAGCTTACAGGCTGTGGTCCAGCTATTCAAACAGTGGCTGTCTACCAATGGAAAGTCCAATAATCCAGTAGTCCATGGGGCTCATGTCTCATCTGGTCTTTAGTATATGTTGGAATTCTGAAGAAGTAGGATCTAATGTCATTGAAGGAATGAGCTTGCCAGGGAAAGTGAGGGCAAGCAGGCAAAGAGCAAAGCTCCCTTCTTCCGTGGTCTTTATATAGGATGCCAGCAGAAGGCATGGCCCAGATTAAAGGTAGATCTTTAGATTTCAAATGATTTTTTTCATATTCAAGAAGGATCTTTATTCTTTAGTTAAATCTCTCTGAAAACACCCCTGTAGACATACTCAGAATCATATGCCTTATGTACTCCAAATCCACTCCTGTTGACAATGAAGATGAGCCACTGCAAGTGTAATGACCACATATGACAGTGTGTATTCTCATTGTAATTCATGGCCATTTTTTTAACTTTTATTGATTCTTTGTGGGTTTCATATTCCTATCCCACTTATCTCCCTGTCCCCTCACATCCATCCTCTGTCCTTGCAACCCCCCCAATCAAAACCAAATTTAAAAGAAAAACCAATCTAAACCAAATAAACAACCAAATTTAAAAGAAAAACCAATCTAAACCAAATAAACAACAAAACAAAAGTAGGAGAAGCTGCATTGTGGCATGTTGATTCACAGTTTACCCTTTAGTTCATTCATCTTTACTTGCAAATGTTCATTGCCTCGGCGCCTCTGGTTTCTGCTACACTACCTCCAATGGGCTCTCACTGAGGTTCTTCTTCAATATCTTGTTGTCCTGTGTCTTGTAGATCCTGCCATTTTGTATCTGTAGGTTTGTCCCCTTCACATGCTCCAACAGTTCATAGATTTGGTGGATACTGGAGTGGGCCAAATCAGCCCTGGTTCTGGGCCTGGGTGGTAGCTGGGTTAGTCAGTCCACCAGCCTTTCCCTCATGGTCACTACCCAGGCAAGTTCTCCACCACCACCTCAGCTAGCTCACCCAGTGCAGCCTGCAGCAAGGAGTGGGGCCAATTCTGCTTTCAGGTCCTCAGATCCAGGTCAACCACACTTATATCACCAGGGCCAGCTCTAGAAAACAGTACCTCACAGGTATACCCAGCTGCTTGGGTTTTAGTTAATTCCACATGTAGTCAAGTTGACAGCAAGAATCCCAATATAGTATATATAACAAAGGATTTTGTCTCATTTATATACAAAGTCTTACTAAAAATGTTCATGGGCTGATGAATAGATTAAAAAACATGGTATATCTGTCGGGCTGCTGCCAGGCCCTGCCTTACCTGAAATTGTTGCATTTACTTTTACTTTCATAGGCCCATGTTATAGAAAGTAATACAAATTTAAGAAATATTTGTATGGTTCTAGAAAAGCAATGACATATGGTTACTATACCTAAAATTACCATTACAGTATCAATTCTCAAAAAACTGAGTATATGATGGCAATTTGACATTCTGTGACTTTGAGAGACTGCTATTTGAAGCAGTGTGTGTTCGTGATGCTAATAGGATGTCCTGTGGTGATATGCATATTGTGTGTCTTCACTGTCCAATGCAGTAATTATTGTGTATTAGAAATGTGGCTAGTGTAACTAAGAAACTTGAATTTAAATTTTTATTCCATTATTTGTTTAGTGTGTGAATTCGTTTCTCTCTGTGGGCATGTGCATGCTACTGCATGTGTGTGGAAGTCAGAGGACAATTTGCTCTCTCACCATCGTAGTGGTCATGGGGATTGAGCTCGGACTTTGCCTACTAAGCCATCTCACCAACCCAGTAACTATTTTAAGTAGTCTCCTGTGGCTGAGGGCTGCTCTGTAGATAGTCTTAGCAGCAAAGGCTATACCCACGATCCAAAGGACTTTGCTCAGAGGAGCCGTGGAAGGCATGCATGTCTTCATATTTAGTCCCTTTCTGGTTTATCTGAGTTTTTTGTTTTGTTTTTTCAAATGGCTATAGAAACCTCATAACTGAGGAGTTAGAGCATTGGGCACAGTTTTTAAATGTTATTTTTCTGGTGCTTTTGAATAGCCCTCCAAGCAACGGATTATAAATTGATAGTATACATGCTGCTCATTGAACAGTGTGAACTGAACAATCCCCTTGTTCTGGTGGTACCTTCTAACTGCAGTAAGAATACATAGGGAGAGCTTCTGTATTGGTTCTCATTATCTTCAGTGGAATAGTATTCTATCTGAAAATATCATAAATGTTTAAAAATCCCCTTGGGGGTCTAGAGTGAGAGAATAATTCATTGTATTTATAGATTGTTTGTACTTTGCTCTGGAAATTTTAAATAAAATTATCAAGACAGTTCTAGATTAGATACAGTTTGGTTTTATATTTTAGTTTTGCTTTAAAGAAAGGCATACAAATAAGGTGGTGACTAGTACCATCCTGCTAAAGCTTCCCCTGGCTGATACTGAGCACACTCCTAGCACAAAGAGACAGTGAGCTCTGAGTCATCATGACACTGAAGTAATAACAGTGTGTCTTGAAAGCCATCCTCTGTGTCCTTCATTGGTACCTGTTGTACTTGTTGAGTGAAGAGAAGAAAATGCAAAGCTTTGAAAGTCTGATAAGCTGATGCTTGTGTTTGGCATTATCTATGATTTATGATCTTGCCACGACCTGAGAAATGAGAATATATTTGTGGAGGGTTGTTGGAAGACCACGTATTAACCTCAAAACTCAGAAAAATAGCATCAGTTATTCAGTTGTGGTAAATATGGTATCTGTGTATATTTTTTGTGGTCCATGTGTGATTGTAGATGGTGAGACTAAATAATATTATTTCCTTTGCATGCATGAGGCTCTGACTGCACACAGGACAAAATAAGAAATGTAATGTAATATAAAGTCCCAAGTGATTAGGGCATCAAGAGACTGACCTCACCCTGTGATACTTGGTTGAACTGTGTAAGAAAATGAACTTTTAAGTATTTGGTCTTGGATTTGAGGACAGCGCTACTGGTGCCTTGGGTACGTGAAGTTCTAATCATTAGTATTTTATAGATTTGTTTATTGTGATCATAAGACTTTGTAGTTTATGAATCTTACCAATATAGAAAGGGAATTATACCATACTAATTATTAGTATACTAATTCTTTGCATATGTTGTATATAGGTGTGTTTCTACATATATATAATTATATATTAATAAATATACTTGCCTTAGAGACACATTTAACCATATGATTTCTTCAGTAGTAGTAGTTTGGTTTAGGTTTTTTTTGTTGTTGTATCTTTGTGTGTGTGTGTGTGTGTGTGTGTGTGTGTGTGTGTGTGTGTGTGTGTGTGTGTGTAACAGGATCCCCTGTAGCCAAGGCTGTCCATGAACTCACTGTGTAGCCAAGGATGACCTTGAATTCCACAATTTTCTGTCTCAACTTCTCAAGTGCTGGGATTACAGGCAATTACCAATGCAGTAGACTTTCACAATATGGTTTCTAATGTAGAGTTTGTAACACACACACACACACACACACACACACACACACACACACACACACACGCCAGTGAAAGTAAAAGTAAATTCAAAAGTAGATGGTTCTGTCAGTGGTTAAGAGCATGTGTTGCTCTTGCAGAGGACCAGTGTTCCATTCCCAGTACCCACATGGTGGTTAACAACAATCTGTAACTCCAGTTCTATAAGATATGTCTCCCTCTTCTGGCTCTGAAGCATATGGTTCACAAACACCACACAGGGGAAACATCTAAACATTAAAAAGAAAGAAACTCTTCCACATAAATGTTTGTATGGCAGCATTATTCACAGTAGTCAAAAACTAGAAGCCATATATATACACTCTTAGGTAAAAGCTTTTCTGTAGACGATTTTATTTCTTATAGATACATTTCTAAGTATATTTGGTGAGCTATATATTATTGTATTTATGTTTTAAAAATACAGTGTTTTACAATTTAGCTATACAATTTTAAATTTCTGCCAACAGTGTACAGCCATTTGAGTTTTTCACCTGCTATCAGGGTACACACCTGCAATCCAAGCACTGGATACATGAAGGTCAGGGGATCTGAAAGCATCCTGACCTATATAGGAAGAATTTATCTGCAAAGGAAAAGGCAGGGCGGGGGTTGCTGGAGAGAAGGCTCAAGGATTAAAAACACTGACTGTTCTTTCAGAGGACCCAGGTTCAATTCCCTGCACCCACATTGCAGCTCACTTCTGTCTGTTACTCTAGCTCCAGGGCGTCTAACAGCCTCACACAGACATCCAAAGGAAAGGGGATAAAAAAAGTTAAAAAATTAAATTTACGTATCTCCATATACTCACTAAAACATTCTACCCCCTCTAATTGTCCTTCCTGTCTTACTTTTTTTTTATTTTTTAAAATAAAAACTGTCTTAATAAGTATGAAATGGTATTTCATTGTAGTTTTGGTCAGATTTCAAAATCATGTTGATCTTTTTTATATGTTTGTTGTTCATTTTTATCTTTCTTTGATAAATATCTTATCTACTTGAGTTTTTTACTTAATTTTAAATTATGTTGTCTTTTTAAAAATTTCTTTTGAGAATTTAATGAATTGTGTTTTGTTTCCTTAACTCCTCTCAGATCATTCCCAATTCCACACCTGCTGGTCCTCGTTTGTTTTCTGTTGCTAGGATAAAGACCACGACCAAAAGCACTTGAGGATGAAAAGGTTTATTTCAGCTTACATCTTACAGCCCATCATGAAGGAAAGTCAGACAGGGCAGGAACTCAAGGCAGGAACTGAAGCAGAGACTGT